CACTCTGTTTAGTTAATGGCTGAAAGTACTTTTATGCTTTAATAAAAATAAGGTTTAATTAATTAAATTTAATATTTTGTGGGGGAGGTGATAAGTGACATATAGAAAAGGTTTTTGGTCACTTTAACATTTTACTATTTTTATTTTTTTTATTATATTTTTAGACTGTTCCAATATAATCATAGGTATTTATTAGGGCTCTATTATACATTATATGAGTAATAATAATTAAATTTCATCTCAATTAAGAATGTGGTTCCACATCTTTTTGAGATACTTAAGAAACTCAAGGATGCGGTTACGCACCTTGGTCAAATTCAAAGATGCGGTTACGCACCTTGATCAAATTATTTAATAATTAATTTGTTAATTCAAACCAAGAGGTGTAAATTGAGATTATTAGGTGTGATGAACTCGAAGGAGAAGACAGTTATGTCTCCAAATGTCAGATCGAGAATGCAGTTATGCATCCGATTTAAGACTAATAAAAATTCAACAATAATAAAATAATAATAAGCAAACCACGGCCTGTAGACATAATATATCCAAAAAATAGTAAAAAATAAGTATAAGTCAATAAAAACGATCGTGCTAGAACCACGAGACTCGAGGGGTTCCTAATACCTTCCCCTCGGTCAATAGAAATTCCTTACCCTAATTTCTAGTTCGCAAACCAAAACTAAAAGAGTCATTTCCTATTGATTAGGGATTTGAAAAGGTGACTTGGAACACCATAACTCAATTCCAAGTGGCGACTCTGAAACAATAAAATAATCCCTTAATCAATAACGTCACTTAAATTGGAAAAAACCTTCTGCCGGCCCGCTTCAAAAAGGGGTGTGACATCTCTGGCGACTCCCCTGGGGACTAACCAGAATTCAAGCTTTGTATATTTTCCTTTTACTTTATTTATTATATTATTTCATTGGATATATTGTTTTGAATGACCTAATGTGCTACTTGCTGCTCATTTATCGGTTTGATATTGTTGAATTGTAATATAATGTCTTCTCGTACACCATCTGAGTCTCTAAAAATAGGGTAGTAGGGAATGCAGTTATGCATCACAATTTCTTTTGAGATAAACTGGAGTGTCTGGGCACCCAGTGAAGGATTTTAGTCACACATGTAGGCAAGGTTGGACCAGCAATGAAGTTGGAATAGCGCTGCTACGATAAGTTGCCCCTCCTTGGCTCGAGTTGTCCACTCGAGTAGCCAGTCTAGATACCTATCTCTTTTAGGTTCGAATCTAGTAAAACTGAAACATACACAGGCTTATCCCTAGTAAACTCTGCTTATTTGCATCATTTGCATTTGACTTATTGGAACTCGACACAGGGGTCGGGTCCGTCTAGGACAGGAGACCCTTCTTGACTAACATGTGCATTTTATGTGTTATTTGTAAAATATTATGTGGAAGACCTCGATTGTTGACCGGCTTTAGGTTCCCTCTAAAATAAATTCTTTAAGATTTATATTTTTCTTTATAATAAAATTAAATAAATAAATAAAATTAAAAAATATAAATAAATAAAATGAATATGAATATATATAGCTATCTATTCTCTAAATAAAAGTAGGCTTTAATATATAGGTGTGCCTACCAATAATATGTTGGAATTTTCAATAATTTTAAGAAAAATTAATTTCGAGATTTTTTTTTCCCTCTCTCTTTTCCATTTGTACACAAAAAAAATAATAATCTTTATTAAACCATATATATAACCCCTATATTGACTCGGAGTATTAATCATAGTCATATTAAAAGTATGTCGTCTTCAACATGTCTTTGATCTATCTACAAGCACTTGAAATTAAAATTCGTAATAGTCACTCCTAATAATAGATTT